CGCGACACCACCGAGCGCATCACCGCCGTGTGCGATACCATCATGTGCATCACCATCGTACATGAATGGATGTGAGTTGTCATGCGCGATGTGGGTGTGAGCCACTGTGCGAAGCTGAATATGGTAGTTCAGGGGACTTCTTCTTTGCTCTCTTGTTTGCTTTCTCTCTCTCTCCATTGCATGTTGCCTTGTGTACTACTTGTCCTTTACATGCTGCCTTGTGTGCCACTTGTCATGTTCATGCTGCCACCCCCTTTTCCTTTACTTAGTTATACCCCACTTCACACCCTACCTTGAGGTTTGTTCTCTCTCTTCTCCCAGCCCTCTCTCAAGCACACCCTCCCTCTCTAGCCTTAATAGGTTAGGAGCTTGAACCCAACCTTGGAGTTTAGCATTGATGTGAACCTGTGTAGAGTACTTTGGATCTTCACTTAATGCAGTAAGTGGATCTAGATTTCATGTTTTCATGCCTTGATTGATGCATGCTTAATTTCTTTGTCAAATTATGAAATTTAAGTATGATTGTGAATGTGATTGTGAAAATGGGTGTGGAAATATGTTGCTGAAATTATGCTAAGCATGTACTCTGTTTCCATAATCATGACTCTCATTTGAATAACTGTTTAAGCATCAAAAATATCTATGTTGATTATGAAATTTTGTGGAGAAGTACCCCTTTGAGTTTATTTTAAGAGGGAAATACCCCATATCAATAGCGCTTTTGATTGGAAAGTTATAAGTCATTTGCTAGAACATTCTAGAATTATGAAAAGAAATTCCAAAAAGCTTTACATATTTTTGTATTGAACAATTACCGACCAAATCATGTTTGAATGAGCTCAAACTACTTTTGAATAAAAGATGAGTGACTCTATTTTAATATAATTTTGGAATCAAAATGAAGTTCCCTGTGGTTTAGAAATTATACCCTTTTTACTATGAAGAGGTCAATGTAATGATGACAGGAAATTTTCCAGAAACTTTATATGTTTTTATATTGAACGGTTTACTAAACAAATTATGTCTGAATGAGCTCAAACCACTTTTGAATGAAATATGAGTGAGTCTACTTTAAATATAACTCTAGAATCAAAACGAAATTCCATGTGGTTGAGAAATTATACCCCTTTTTCTATAAAGAGTTCATTGTAGTGATGACAGAAAATTTTCTATAAACTTTATATGTTTTTGTATTGAATGGTTTAGTTACTAAATCATGTCTGAATGAGTTGAAACCACTTTTGAATGTAATATGAGTGAGTCTATTTTAAATATAGTTCTGGAATCAAAATGAAATTCTCTATGGTTTGGAAATTATGCTTCTTTTTCTATGAATAGGTCACTGTAGTGATGACAAGAAATTTTCCAAAAACTTTACACGTTTTTGTATTGAACTGTTTACTGACAAAATCATATCGGAATGAGCTCAAGCCACTTTTACATGAAAGATAGTGAGTCTACTTTAAAAATTGATTTGAATCAAAACGAAATTCTCTGTGATTTGAAAATTATGCTCTTAAAGGTGGATTGTGTTCACTTCTAAAACCAGCAAAATAATTTGAAAATGTTTTTAATGAGCCTTATGATTTGTGTTTTTCTTTTAACATACTTGTATGCCTTAAAGTATGCTCTGTGGTGGTAAGAATGCATAATTCTGAGATAAATGATATGTAAGTGATATGTGTGCATGATTCTGATACAAGCTAAGTGATATGAGATTTTGTCGGCATGCTTTGAGTGTATTACAAAACCATAATGTGTTCTGATAAGAATGTGCTCTGATAAGAATGTGCTATTATAAAAATGTGCTCTGATAAGACTGTGCTCTGACAGGAATGTATTCTGATAAGAATTTGCTCTGATAGGAATGTGTTCTGATAAGAATGCGCTCTGATAAGACTGTGCTCTGACAAAAATGTGTTCTGATAAGAATGTGCTCGGATAAGACTGTGCTCTGATAAGAATGTACTCTGATGAAAATGTTGTACTACACAACGGGTCATCTGTTGATAGTATGATGTGATCTGATAAGAAAGTTATGTCAGTAGTTGAGATATTTTCCTAACTCCCTATGATAGAATGGGAGCTAGGATGATTATGTATGTTGGGATAGATCGTGCCCCCCAAATTTCTGTATGAGGCACTATCCATTGGGACCCCTTTGGTTGTGTAACGCTCTCACCAGAAAGGCACATGAGAGGGTCATGTCTTGTAAAGCCAGTGTGCCTATCAAAAGCCCCAAAGAGCACTGGGACTATGTGTGTGTGCGTATAAAGGCATTACGAAGTGGATCACCCACTTATCATTGTCTTCCCTCCTGAGTGATGGTAGAAATCCTAAACAATAGGATCAAGTTGGCCTGATGAATAGTATTTCTATTTCAGGAGTAGGTGAATTAGGGAGTAAGTTGGGTAATGCCTATTACTGTGGTTTATTCTTATTATGCTTGTTGAGTTATAGTAATGATGATTATTATAATGCTCATGATGGAAAGATTTGATAAATTGTTAGTTCATATGATATATGCATTGTAATTGCTTATCCCTAAAAAGAATAATTCACGACACATTGCTAGATATAATTGTGACGCATGGCATCTGGATCTACTTACTGCGCTTTATAGCTCATCCCTTTGACTTTCTTCAAGGTAGAGTGATAACTCGCGGTTTGAGGACGGACGGTTGAGAGATCACAACTGACAGTTGGAGCCCCGAACTTGGCAATGAATCTTCTTTTGATTGTAGGTTTTAGGTGGCAGTTTGGCCATATAGGTTTTTTTGGGTTTTGAAGCTATCCTTCATGGCCTTCACATCCTTCAACTTTACTGCTTACTATATGGGGTGAGGTAGAGCGATATACTCTTCCCTTACTGTCTAAGGATGATTCATTGGTATGGATTCATTCTGCCAATGGAATATTTTCAATTAAATCAGCATGGAACTTCATTCAATATAAAAGTTCATCTCAACCCTTATTTCATGCTCTTTGATCTTCAAAATGTCACCCTCGAGCTAAGTGGTTTTCATGGTTAGCTATGCATAATCGGTTACCGAATTCATCCATATTTCAGCAGCGAGGTATACACATGGCTACTATTTTCCCTTTTTGCATAAACAATGAGGACAATCTATGTCACTTTCTGTTTCACTGTCCTTTTTCACTAGCTGTTTGGTGATCTTTAACTTGGCGATGTGGTAAGAGATTTGTGCTTAGTACTATGGTCCAAATTCAACTCACAGGGTTTACTTGACATATGGATGACTATTTCTTTCTCATCGATCTGGTATCTATGGGAGGAGCGGAACATATGACTTTTTAAATCTAACGCTCTAAGGAGGGAGCAGGTTGTAATTAGTATTACTACAGATGTCAAGGCTCTATCAGAAGTTAAAAAATGGGCCTTCCATTTATCAGAATAGGCAGTTATTGAAAAGTTACAAATCAATTGGCACCAACAGAAGTCAAAATCCTCAGTCTTAGTTGCATGGTCATTTCCTAAGGTTCAGTGTTATAAGTTGAATATTGATGGTGCGTCCTTGCACAATCCTGGTTCCCATGAGGGGTGGGGTCATAAGAGATAGCAATGGTGGATTTGTGGCAGCTTTCGTTAAACACTTTGGAGTTGCGTCTAATAATTATGCAGAATTTCAGGTTCTTGAGGAAGGTATTCTCTTAGTTATCCAAATGGGTTGCTTCCCGATACAGATAGAAAGTGATTCATCTTTGCTAGTAGATGCTATTCAGGATCGTTGAAGGTGCCGCTATTTGGCGCTGTCGTGCGCCAGACTTTCTTTCACTTCTATTATTACATGATTTGACGCAACTTCCCTAATATAGGGTTGTAAAATAATGTATTTTTCTTTCTCCTATTAATGAAAAATTCGAATAGGGGGCCTTCTCCACACTGACTTACCCCAAAAAAAAAAAAAAGCTATGTATTTATTGTTGGGCCTTTAGTACCTTGGACATAATTGTTATACTTTTAGAGCTCCTTTATATATAAATATATATATCTGGTTTCAGTTACCCAGCTTTTGAGGGTTGTGTGTGGATTTGCTTCGATTCCATCTTTTGAAAAGCATTTGAACTCACTCCCACCTGAGTGGCATTCGCTACCTTTGGTCGCGGTCCTGCATCCTGTTGCCCTCCAACAAATATGGCAAGAGGGCAGGAGGCAAGGCTATGACAATTCTATAGAGAGATGAAGGTGTTTCAGAGAGAGAGAATTTTTGGAGGTGAGAGAAAGCTTCATCTCCTTGTCCAACCAGTCCATTTAAGAAACCAATGCCTACCAATAAATTAAATCTCATTGTGAGCTAGGACAGAGAGGGCGTTTTAGAGAGAGAAAAGGCAGAGTTTTTACAAGTAGTTTCTTTCCTACTAAGTGATTCTCAAAGGACATTTTAGAGAGAGAAGCAAGGTTTTTATTTAGGGGCATCAATCCCCATCTAAAGACACGGGATTTTAGAGAGAGAAAAAGATTTACCTTTTTTCTTAGCAGGTGAGAAGCTCCTCCTCTTATCCGTTTATGCTAATCAATCCTCATTTTAGAGAGAAAAAGTGGGGTTACAACCGACATGACCAGCTTAGGACAAACCATGGCGAGTTCCAATCCTTAAGATTAATAAAAATAAAAAATAAAAAATAAAAAATAAAAAAAAGCCAAAATTAGAAACCCCATTAATATGCATGGGTCTCAATCATATGAGGGTGGAAATTGCCTAAATTCGTGGAATAGGAATAATGACTACGATATGCAGGGCAAGATTGGGTCCTACTCTAACTTAACTCAAGATAGTGAGTGAAGGAAATAAGCACAGAATCTTTTGATTTTTTTTAACCAGTCAAGATTGGGTGCTACTATTGGACATTGTGATATCGCTCTCAAAGCTTTAAGGGATGAGTAAACTACCGAAGTCCCATATATTTCTCAAATAAAGAGGACAGCCTCTGGTAACAACTATTTAAAAGCTTTTTTCTTCTCAAATAAAAGAATGAAATTTTATTTACCTAATACTTAAAGGCCAAAGTTCAAAATTCTTAACAGTCCGTACAACAAACAGATAGATTTCACAATAGCCAGCATCCACCATATTATCCCCAATATAAGAGGACAACTGTATACATTCCCACAACATAAAAAAGTACAAAGTAAACAGAAAAAAAAAAAAAGAACAATTAATAATTATTAATAATAATAATAATAATAATAATAATAATAATAAAGAGGAAGACAACAACTTTTTCTTTATCCCATGCCAGTGGTAGTTAATGGGAGGTTTAAAATAAGAGTGAGAGAGCTTCTCAGGTCACATTTTCTTTTCTTTTAGTCTCTCTACGTATCTATTCTTTTCAATTCTGTTTGGTCTTTTGATTGGACAAATGTTGCCCACCAAATTTGTCAACTACAAAAAATTTGTATGTCGCTATCCATCGCCACTCTTTCAATGCCCCTGCATGTCTTCCTCTGGGTGTACCTGAGCAATTCCAAGTGCATTACTACAATACAAATACTGAACTAAGCATGAGGGTAAACAAATGTGATTTGTTCCAGTATTTTAGTACAGAGAAATGCTTGATGCATTAGGGTCTGCATATGTTATTGTATTATAGTTCCACTGAAAAATCCTCCATCTCAATCTAATGGTATAAATTAGGAACCAAGTACCCCAAGGTCCTCATCAAACAAGGTGAGGGGTTGTGCAATTTAAAATGTAATTACGACAAGGTCATCCTCATCTCACACATGGATAGGATCCAAAAACTGCCAGCTAGAAATTGCAAAACTTTGGAGGTCTAAATAACACAAGGTAAAAGAGAGGTAATATTTCTAAAGTAAAATCAAGGTTTAGGAACGTAGTTTTATGTGGTAAAACAAATTCAAAAACTTCAGTTTTCAAGAATTTGAAGAACAAATTATTCAAACATTAATTTTAGGGTTTGTGTATCATAAAACCATTTTTCTTTCCTGCAAGAAGGTGACATTACTCTTAGCCCTTGCATGTCAAATTAGATGGCTTGTGGTGTATCACAAAGTTTGAGAAAAAAAATTGGAAGTTTGAACCTATTCAACAACATATCCACAACTACCCAATTTGAAATCTGAAGGAAAAGGACGATAATACCTCCTTGTCTTAAAAGTAAATGGTCTCTTTCTTTTTTATTTTCTAAATTTTAAAACCAATGAGAATAAAGAATTACCAAGTTGGATCAGATTCTACCAAGGGGCAATGCAGTCCCCTCCCTCATAAACGCTCCCAATTTCACCTTTTTGACCAATTTTTCACTGGTTATACCGGTCACGACCGGTGCAATGAGTGGGTGATCCAAAACCCGATTCCAGGTTTTAAAAGGTTGTAGTAAATAAAGTAGCACAGTTAAGAGCAAAAACTTAAAACTGCCAAAGAAAAGAAAAAGTGCCTTGCCTGAAAATGTCTGGTGTCATTTTCACTGAAACTCGTTTGTCTTAGCTTAATCTCCCCTCTACTTGTGGTGAGTTCATCCAATATCTCTTCTGCATCAAACACATCCTCGTCACTTTCCATCCCCATTTCTCTCTCCTGCACAATTCTCACCTCTAAATTTCACCACAACAAAGTAAGGAAGAATCTCTATATAATCAACATTGACAAAATTCATTACTGGTGTACACCTCTCCCATGTGCACATATAAGGTACAGGAAAATGTATTGTATTAGTACAGGTTGGGTGCTTCGAACCTGGCATTCATTATCCATGGATATGAGTACCAAAAATTATATTTGTACAAAGCATACTAACTTTTAAAAAAAATTCCAAAAGTCTATAGACCTTTAAACATATTAACTTATGCGTACTAGAAAACAAGTAAACATGGTGGATAGTTCCGGGTACATATGCTGCCCATTCTCAAGATGCGATGTCGGAGATGATGTCTTATCTTTGCAGTTGACTATGTATGTGTATTTGAGAACAATATGTAAGTTTTTTGCATCAATGTTTCAAAACAACTTTAATTTTGAAAAATCTAAATTAGTACATTAATATAATCTAGACCCCTAGGTCCACCTTGCCTGTGCTGTCCTTAGTTTTACTGAATGATTTTCTGCACACTTGGCTTTACCGTTTTCTTAGCCTTGCAAGGGGATGACTGACGTGGGGTCATAAAGACATTCTGTACTTTGACTGGACACCTTCATACCCCATTGACACTTTTTTTTAGCGCTCACTTATGATCATAAAAGACATTCTCTCTAAAGGTTACTCTCTCTCTTTTTCTCTCTAAAGAACTCTAGAAACTTAAGGGATTTCTCCATACATGCCATGCATAAACATTCAAATTAATGCTGCATCTCATACCTAAACCAAGTCTTTCAGACCTCATTGCCGATTAGAAGGAATTTACAATGAGAAATATTTGTTGCTATTTCAGAAATTTATTTTCAATCCATGTTTGTTGGTATTATTGCCAATTGGATGACATAGAGTATTTTTGCCCATATTGTACGAGTCTTTTAAGCGTGTGACTAACAGGCTCAAGAACAATTAATCTCAGTATTAAAACAAACCGGCACGGTCAAACCGAACTTGGCCTGATTACATGTATCCGGCCCATGGGAAGGTCCAGTTAAGCCCGGTTTTGGTGGTCAAGTTCCCAATTTTGAAAAGAAATTCACAAAAAATTATTGGAAAATCCAAAAAATAAGAAATTTATTTATAGTGTGCTTTCGTACGTTCTTTAGTATTTTGACAAAGATTGGAATGTATCTTGGTCATGAATACTTAGTTTTACATTTTCCCCTCTTTTCAAGATTATTTCCAAAATATCTTAAGAAATTTATTTGTAATGTGCTTTTATATGTTCTTTAGCCTATTTGACAAAGATTGGAAAGTATTTTGGCCATGAATACTTATTTTTACATTTTCCCCTTTTTTAGATTATTTCCAAAATAGCCCTGATCACAAATTGATTTTTCAAAATCTATCTTTTTCACTACTTTTTTTAATCTCATTTAGACGTATTTTAGTTAATTTTACTTCAAAACATATTTTCCATATTTTTTTTGGATTTTTTTGTTTTTCTGTTTTAATTTTTTAAACACATTTTTGCAGAGCCAGTACAATCGGCCAGTTACCCACTCTGATTCCAGGTTAACCAGACCAGTTCCGAGTTACCTGGACCTAGACTTTGGCCAGGTACCACTGCCGAGACGTGCAATCCTGCACTGGTTAATCTGATCTAGCTAAACCCTGTGGGCGTCCTTGCAAAGACCGATTGCATCTTTTGATTTTTCTTGAGTTGGGGGCATTCAACAACTTGGACTAAGCGAATTCTCTTGTGCCCCCAGATCTCGCATTTTTTATCTCCCTAAATTTTATTACTGAATTTAGTTGAGGTCCATTGACCTCTTTGTCTAATTTCAGAGTGTTACTCGTGTGTAATCGAGATTACGGTAAATTTTTTCACCACAGATAACATCAACATTTTGAATGCAGTGGGCCAATTTTGAACACAATTACTCTTTTGATAGCGGTTATTTTGACTACAGTAACCAGTTTTTACCACGGTTCCCCTTTGTGAACACAGGAAGCCAAAACTTTTGACTGCGGTACCTTGTTTTGACCGCGGTAGCCAGTTTTGTTTTCACAGCAGTGAACTACTTCACCAAACTTTTGCGAGTTCTACTCTTCTAAGTGGACAACCATGGGAGAAAATCTAACAAAATATACTATAGACACAAGAATGAGAAAAAACAAAACTATACAATAGGCACCAACATGACAATATGGATGCAAGTATATAGACCGACATGATAATATGGATGCAAGTATATAGACCGACATGTACGATATGGATTTGCAAGTATGATGCATATACCTTGAAGCTAGGATCCCGATGAGGATGGGCAGCACCAGCAATCTCTTCATATTCTGCCGCATCAAGTTCATGGAGATGGTGGGGATGAAAGAGCTTAGGTAGCAAGCGTTGCCTTATGAGTATCAATAAAAAGAAAGGTATGGGGAACAAGATTCCAGCAACCGGGATCCATGTGATTCCAAAGCAGGTGAGTAGGTAAACCACTTGCATCAATGTAAAGCCCGCAATGTATTTAAATGGCACCAATTCCACAAAAGAAGCATGAATCCCTTCTAACACCCTGCAACAGAACACATGCATGCAAAGGGCATGTTTAATCACTGACCTCATGCTCCACACACCCCACTGACCAAATCATGTTCTAACATATTAGTAGTGGGGAGAGAGGTAACAGAGGTGACATCATTCACAATAATGTTACACTACAAATCCAGCTAACCTCCGCTAGAGAGGGATAGAGCCTACACAAGGATAGGCTAATCTGGAGAGACAACGTTGAGAGAAGGAGACACATAAAGATAAAGGTAAGAGAGCCAGAGAACATAGAAAAGATAATAAAGAAAAAGAAATGTACAATTTTGAGAAGAGAATTTATCATCATCATCCAAACCTTATTCCAATTATTTAGGGTTGGCTTAGAGAAGAGAAATTGACAACTTAAAAACATCTATCTCGTTGGGAATAAGAAAAGAGAGAACTTAGAGAAGAGAACCTAAAGAGAGAAAGTGGTTTGTAAGAGAGAAAGAATCTCGATAGAGAGAGAGAGATATGATATCTTACTTGTATCTCCTTCTTGGTGTAATGAAGAGGAGCAAGAACCTCTCCCAGAACTGGTTGCCAGGGAGGCTGTCGATGGCCATGTAGGCGAAGTAGCCCCAGAGCACAGAAGTGGGTATCATCCTTATCACCGGCATCCCACCCAGGCAGCATGCCACCAGCACCGACTGGAGCAGGTTGCTCAGCCTCTGCTCGTTCACCTGGACAGGCAAGTACGCATCTATGTGCTTCTCAGGATCAAACACATGATCTCCCCCTCCCTCTTTGCTTCCCATTACTGCCTCCTTCAATTCCTTTAACTCTTTCACATCAGAAACCGCCTGCCAGTCATTTAACTTGTCTTTAAAAGAGAGAGGGAGTGGATGAGAGAGAGAGAGAGATGCATGCAGATTTTCTGAAAGAATGGACGATGTTGTGTGTGTGAGAGAGAGAGAGACCAAAAAAGAATGAACGATGTTGTCTGTGTGTGAGAGAGAGAGAGAGAATGGACAATGTTGTATATATGATGTGTGATAGAGAGAGAGAGAGGTGAAGTATTTCAACTCCAACCACCCTTGCATTGTAATCTGCTAAGAATTGAAATTACGAGAGCGTAAAAATTAAATCCCAACGATCATACCCAAGCCAGAAACCGAATTGTACATTCTGTGAATTAAGTAAAAACCAAATTGTATGTAAAAAGGGCCAATTAGAAGCAGAGCACATCTAGATGGATCAAGTACAAGTCCGTTTAGTTCACAATCAAACTGTTCCCCAAAAAAAAACAAAGAGAGAAAAAAAAAGAAAAAAAAATTAAAGTAATAACCAGACTGTCTATTGAAAAAGACCAGATAGAAGCAGACCACAGATAATAAATAAAAGTTAAGACAAAAGCCCAAAATAAGGTATGCTATAAAGAGCAACTATGATGTATGGCACATGGTACACCGGGGGGGCATCCCCCATCCATTCTTAATGACTGATGGAGATTGCCCATATCCAGATGAATTCCTATCAGTGGAAACTTTAGTTATTCATCTCATCTCCACCACCCATCAACAAATAGACACCACATCTCCCTACAGTGTACCATATACCATAGACCACAGGTATAACCTATACTTCTGTGGAGCATGTTTTCTGATGTAAAGCTTGTGTTCGTCAAAACAAAATTTACTCACAGATTGTTTGTCATCCATCTTGATGAAAACTGCTTGCATGTTCCCATAAATTTCTGAGTTGCTTGCTTGAAGTTTGATGCTTTCTTTGGCACTCTTTACCATCTTATTGCGGACTAACTAAAATGGTGGTATCACACAAAATAGACATTCAACATACAGTACCACAGCAATGAAAAGTCAAAAGATACTACCGGAGAAGTGGGAACTCAAAAACGGACCTGCCTCTTGAGTACTGCAAGGCTCTTAGTATGCATGGGCGATTGGGGGAGAACGCCATTTGAAGGAGGAAGCCCAAGTAAACCACATAGTAAGACCTTTGATAATCATAGGGAGAAGCATAAGTGAATTGGTTATAGCTTCTAATGCTGAGATCAGGTAAAGTAGAATTGTAAATGCAAGAACAAAGGAATCAAATACAGTACCATGATGCCTAGCAACAAAATGTCATAGTGGTAAGCAGATGGATTCTTGAGATTGAATTCCTTTTGCTGAGCCATTTGTGATGCAACGCTGTGGTCGAAAAAGTAGAGACCAGCAATCATCATAGCTGGGATAAATGCTGCAAATATGTACAGAGGCGGAACCAACCCCATGTCCTGTAGCACGTCCAAAAAGGCATGGGATGCAAGAGGTTAGCAGTTGAAGTATTGGGATTTTGATAATCGATCAAAGACAAATGGGAAGGACAGATAGAACTGAAATATGTAGGTGCAGTCATTTCTCATTTCTATGAAAAGTTCATTTGGTCCTCCATCCAAACTATGATGTGCCTTCATTCAATAATAACATTCAATAGGCTATTCTTTCTTTTATTTTATTTTTTAAAAAAGATTATAACCAATTTCATTTGTAAGTAGTGAACCATACATTACTATGAGAAAATCCAGAGTATTTCCCAAATATATCTTAAGTCACTAAAAATGACAGCGTGAGATAATGCGTTCATGCCCTTGGCTCCAAGTCTAGAGTGCTTTGGGGCCATAGCACAAGATCCAAGGTTTGAGAAAATAACCACTTGGTTCAGGGGTCATGACATTTAAGGTCACGCATTATTGCAAAATAAAACACATGAAAACTCTACATAACGTATATTCAATTCCTAGAACTAGAAGCTATAGCACTGCCTCTTTTGGATGTCATTCATATTTCTAGGCTGACTAGTTATTAAAACCACTGAACAAATTTCATGCCATTCTCTTAATAGTCCCTTATAGAACAGGTGAATTTTTCACTGAAGTAGCAGAAGGATAGACCCTGTTATCTGATCCAACTTCCATGGAATTCTTGAAATTGAAAAAGCCAATAATGACTGTAATAGCAGCACAATAAAAAGTGACCACAAATAATGCAATACTCACTGATTAGAGGGTGGGTGGGTACCTTCATTATGGTCCAGTTAGACATAGCTCCAGTGGTCGACCAAGGAAGTGGACTATCTAGCCTTCTAGGAATATCATCAGGAACCTTCTTCGGTACACTATATGACAGTGCTGTCCACAGAACAACCATCAAAGGGACACCATAGTCTGCAATGAAACTTCTCATCCAACCTGTGAACATAAAATTGATCATCAAATGCACCTAAATTCCTCATAAAATAAAAGCCTACTCTAGAAAAGATTCAAGAATAAATAAGGGAATTGTTTCTCTTAAAATAATTTAGAGTACAATTTAACCCAACTTCTAGTTGACACTTAGCTATTAGTTCACAGAAGTATATGGCACCAACATGGAAATGACTAATTATTAGGCATTGCATTTATTCCATATAAGTGGAGAAGTTTGGAATAACCTTCTCAAAATAGAATTCACGAAGAAAGACAAGTCTCAAAATAGAATTCAGTACATTATATTCAAAGACAGTCAAACTCATCTACCAATTGACAGGTAGCCATAACTTCACCCAAAGTATGGATAGAACAGTAAAAGTCATTTATTATAGCTCATGTCAATCCAAAGATAAGAAGAAGACCCACCTGCGCCATATCTCCATGACCTTGCCCTTCTGCTTTTTAGGGCTGTGAAAAAAAGGCCAAAGGAGAATATGATCCCCAATAATCCATTCATGTATAGCCACTGGAACAAATGGGCAGAAGAACTCTTATCGGCACCTTTGGGCACTTCAAACTCACCAACCACTCCCTGATTATGAAAAAATATAAATGTCAGATGAATTGCGATCTGCTGCCCTTTCTCAGGGGATCGAAGCCGAGACCACTGAATTACCTTGATGGCTTGTTGCAAGAAAAGAACCGCAATCAACATGCCAAAGAGCTCTCCTGCAACCCTTGTAAATCTGCTGATTGTAGAAGAGGCATTGAAAGCCGCCAAAAGAAACAGCAGCAAAGCAGTCCAAACACAAACCCTAGCAATAATTAAAAAACTTTTAAATAAACTCCAAAGTGTGAGAATTTCAAAAACCAGTACATGATCCAGGATCATAAGGATATAAAGTCAAATAAACACGAGCTCACAATGCAAACTTAACAAAACCACATGCTTGAAATATAACATTTGAAGCTCAATGAACTCACCATCCAGCCCAAGGCAAAAACAGGGACCTCCCCAAATCATCGCTTCCTTTTGCAAAGTTATATATGTATGTATACATTATTACAGTGGGCTCTGCAACACCCAATATCAACAAGGGTTGTCCACCTAAGATCGAGTGTATAACACCACAGATAGCAGTTGACGCCAGTGTTTGAACTGCACTCAAGGAACCATCTACACAATGGAAGTTTGAAGACACAAAGCCATGTCAGTCCATATTCAAAACAGGGATTAAATAGAGTATATAGTCCACCAGTTTTATCAGGGAAACGAGTACTGCCATCCAATGTAATTCTTAGCAGGTTCTTTTTTTTTTTTCCTCACATCGACAAATCCTTGCGATTTGGGTCAGAACCCAAAACTTAATTTCTTTATTTTAAAGCCACTAAAATAAAGACCTGTATCTCTGCTGAGTTGCTCTCCGAAGGCAACAACAGGTAAAGCGGATGCAAAGAAAATGTAGAGTGTGGGAGCCAATATCCTGATGTAAAATTCAAGTATTAAAATTCGTACATACTCAAAATTTCAGAAAGATAAAATAATGGAAATACGGGATTTATATATTGGTAAAAAGCAAAATAAAATGGAACCTGAAGCCCGAACAGAGTCCAACTTTCCAATCTTGCTTATAACACAGAGCTCTTCCATTGACATCTTTGACGACTCCTGCAAATGGAGCTTGCCAATGATCCATGTCTGAAAATTAAACATTTATGATATCATATTCCTCATTGTCACGGAAAAGAGAAGCCACTAAAACACTGAAAATAAATAGAAAACTGAAGCAAAAGAGAATACAAAATAAATATATCCACAAAGATAATGCTTCTATCGACTTAAAAACTCAATCCGAATACTATATCCATCTGTTGTCCAAAACTAATATTCTATCTGCACTACATCGCATTCAATTTCAAGCTAAAGGTCTGCAAAAGAAAACGAAAGTTTAAAATGGAACAACTAAACTTGAGAACAACAAACAAAATGTGATTCATGAGAAAATGAATTTCGGAAACAATTTCTGGTTCCTCAACGATAAGAAAACAAAAACTGAAAAATAGAAGAAACAGAGACTTGGAATAATAGAGAGAACAAACAGTCGTATCAATCAAAAGCTTATCTAAAATGTAAGAAAGAGAAAAGGAGAATTAAATAATGGAACAAACAGAGAGATGGACTGTTAAATAAGACGAAAAGCATTAAATAACCTTGCAAAATATATAAAGTAGAAAAAGAAATGAAAAGGCAAAGCAAAACAGAGAGGCAGAGAAAAGAAATGAAAAGGCAAAGAGGTAGAGTGATAAGCATAGGCAATCAAGTCTTACTCTTCAAACGCTTAGAGAAAGAGAGAGCGAGAAGACTTTCCTCCAACTTCTTCAGATTTGCTATAAAGTAAATGAAACCAGGACAAAGATCATCGGATACACAAAAGCTAGAGAGAGAAAGTATCTTCTTTTCGGATTTGTGAAGAGAGAGAGACGCGTGAAAATTTTGAACTTAATTTTTCCATTAATACCTAAAACATTTCGATGAAACAAACACGGAAGATTCATAATGTATACGGGCATCCATTAATGAGCCTTTTCCATTGCCTTCTTTCAGTCTTTTCAGATGAAAGACAAGTTTTTCCTTTGCAGAATAGGAGAGCGAAAAGTTTATTCCATTGAGTGGGCCAAAAATGAGAGAAAGGGACCTTCTCCATCAGAGAAGAGTGAGAAGAAAGTAGTTTCTAGTAGAGAATCACAGAAAAAAAAGTATTTCCATTACAAAGAAGGAGAGGAGGCGACGAAATAAAATCAGGGATCCATTCAAGATTCATTAAGGCCTGACATGGAAGAATATTGTATCATCTTCCAATAAAAACAAGAAACTGAACATGCATGCAAAGATCAAGCAATCTCATTGGCGTTCCCTAAAACAACAAAACATAGAGCATCTCAAATTGATTGATTCTTCGTCGAACAACATATTGAAATTTTAGAGAGAGAGAGAGAGAGAGAGAGATGAGCATAAGAATACCTGGATCACAGATGTCGAAGGCTATCCTGTCAAAGAAAGCCAGGCGGCCTAATATGACTCCTTTCAAGCTCTTTTCATAAGCTTCAACTTCCAAAAACGAAACGTCCAATTTTCCGGCGAGCAGTCGCCGGAAAATAGAGCTCCAATACAATGCCCCTCTCCGAAGAGAGCACAGAGATATATAGGGACAGAGAGAGAGTTTAAGGTGAACCGCTTATAGAGATTGACAAATAAATTTGCGGTTTCAGATACAGGAGAGAGAAAGAGAGAGTTTTAGGTGTTTGAGGTGGTTCGAGGCTTTGGGTTACGGAGGAAACAACAATGCGATTTAGAGAGTGAAATACGATAGGAGAGTTTAGAGAGAGAGCGCCATGTGATTTAGAGAGAGAGAGAGAAAATGGAATTTAGAAAGAGAAAGAGGTTAGAGAGAGAGAGTGTCCAGTAAGTAACGGTGCGCTGTCATCGACGCCTAGAGAGAGAGAGAGAGAGAGCCAGAATTTTTGAAGCGCGTAGACCGGCATTTGTTAAAGTGTCCGCCACTCCGATTGAGCGGGTAGCGTTGACACTTGGCATATTCTTATGGGGTGGCGGTGGAGACAGTTATGTCGACCTTTCTTTGTTATTTTCTGAAGTTTCTATGTTTCCTACGTAATGCCCTGTAGCTTCAAGATTTGAGCGGCCGCCTAACTAATTTTCAAGGCTTCCCATTTAATGGGAATATGCTCATGCTGACATCATACGAGCAGGTTCACATTAAACATGATGAGCTGCAAAAGTTTTTTCATATTTTATTAAAAAATATTTTTATAGAGAAAATATATTCTTACACCCTCTCTTTTGCTTTTATTAGACGCCCAAGGTTTCAAGCTTATCTAGGTTATTAGAGATCGTATTTTTTTTTCTCAGTCACGACGAACTTTTGCCCTTTTGACCCTTTGTTTTTTTCCCTAAACAAAATTTCAAAAAGATAGGGTGCAGTTGCATACGGATGCATCCGTAGGTATAGAGATAAGTTGTACGTTCAAATTTTATCATGATATATAATTTTGATGTAAAATGTTTTTAGGATTATCTCAAAATTTATTTTTATATCTAATTATAAAATTTTAAATTTCCAAAATGGTTAAAATCAAGTAGATCTATAATATATGAAAATCTTGAAAATGGACGGTGTAGATAATATGTTGTAAAAATACACTATTTCTGAGACTTAAAATCTTTTTATTTTTCATAGTCATACATTTTGATATTGAGATGATCACTCAAAGGGTTTTTCGACATTAAAACTACCTTTACCAATGGATTTTTGAAGGGCATCCATACTTCTACATTATAAGGTAGCATCGTTATGTAAACTTTTTTCTGAAAGATTTTCGTGGAGAGATACGGAAAGAGAAAAGGGGACTTCTCTCTTCCATGTTTCTCTTCGAACCTATATGTTTTTTCAATATAAAACAAAATTCAAAAGAAATTCTTGAAAAATGAAATAAGTTTTGTGTCTCCCATGTTACTCTCCGAACCTCCCTCTTTCTTTAATATATTAAAAAAAATTCTAAAGATATTTTAAATAAATGAAAGAAGTTTTGAGAGACAGAATCTGTTTATAAAAGAATAAAAAAAATATGCTTTTTGATCTTGTGTTTGAGTTAAAAAACATGGGCCAAACTTGCTAAAGTTGGTTAGGGATAGAAGATATAATACATGAAATATCTATGGCTTGATATGTTTTGAAACTTTGAGTGTGTTGAAAAATGAAATTTCAAAAAAAAAATATGCTGAGATATTTTCTCATTTTTATATTAAATTATTAAGTCAAATTTATGGAGTTGACCCGTGGGCCCAAAAATAAAAGAGGAACTTAGAGAAAATGTGGGTGCGTCCAAAAATAAAAGACCTTAGAGACAATGTGGGGTGCGTGCTTAAAAAAGTAACTGACCGAGTTTAGGAATGGGATTGTCAAAAAAATAGAGCTTTTAGTATGAAATTAGGGTGAGATATATGTGGATCTCGTTTTCCATGAGATAACGCACTTACCAAGAAAAACACTTGTTTCCATGAAATTCCTACTCCTCTTGCCCCAACCTTTTTGGGTGACTTACTGAAAATTTAGACTCACGTGCTATTTTCCAGAAATGTAAGTCCTCTTTCATATAAATTTCTCACCTCATATGTCTTTTCCATTCTTGTGAGTATCCAACTTGCTTTTGACGACCAAGACTTTAAAACTTTTTGACTCGTGTGGGACTCTCTTACATTTACATATTTTTCATAGGGAAAAGTTTATATAGAGCAAGAGGCTTTAAACAACCAAATTTGAATCTACTTAAAAAATTTCACTAGATGAGGTTGTTTTGAGGTCCAAATATCTTCAAATTGATTATTTCGACATCGATATGTATGGACATGAAAAAAAATGAATTTCAAATTTTAAAAATAGTGTATTTTGTAACACATTTTTTGACCGTCAATTTTCAAGATTTTCAAGTTTTCATAGATCTGTCGATCTATACTATTTTTAAATCTTTAAAATTTATAAATAAATATGAAAATTTATTTTAAGACTATCACAAAAATTTCCAATATTAAAACTACATTTCTCCACACTATTTAAAGGTCGGCTCTAATTTGATTGTTTAGAGCCTAGGCTGCAGTCAAGCGACACTCTTTTCCAAAAATCTCACGTAAAAATCTCTCACCTTTTTTCATATAAATATCTCTAAAGTTTATATCTACATATCCTCTCTCAAGTAATGATGCTATGAGACCCTCCCACACTCATGTGAGTAGGACCCTAAAGGATAATCCTTAAATTTTTAGACAAATCTTTAGAAAGTTATCAAAACTTTTTTTGAGATCTGTGTCAAAATTTAATGGTGATCCTTTGAGGTCCTACTCACATGGTGTGAGAGCGTCTTTCGTTACTCAAATATCTTTCAAAAAATTATAAAAAACCCCCAAGACCACACTTTTTATGTAACTTAAACCCAACCTAACTTTTTCACTCACTTTTTTCTCTAAAACAAACTTTCTATGCAAATACCCCCAAGGGAAAAAGTTCATTGTTTTAGATAGAAATGCCCTTTACGTACACAAAAATCATTTTGGCCATATTTGACGTTGACATTTAGACTCCAGTAGCACATTCTTGGAGCACACCATCACATTTGGACTCTAGTAGCACACCATCACATTGTCGAAGCGCATAAGTGTCAGACTGCCCTAGGACAAGTACCGGATCGAAACTAAGTAGTGTTGGGCCGCCCTTTACATAGTGTCGGAGCCTTGGAATCCTGTAACATCTACAGTTGGACTGCCCTCTGCAATTGTCGGACCACACTTTACACAGTGCAGGAGCCCTACTGCCGGTCCGTACTTTACACAATACTGAAGCCCTACTGTCGGTCCGCACTTTACATAGTGTCGGAGCCCCAAAGATTTGACGTTGACTTTGGACTCTAGTAGCACAATCCCGGCATGCACCATCAAATTGCCGAAGCGCACAAGTATCGGACCGCTCTAAGACGAGTACCGGATCTAAACTAAGTACTGCCGGATCGCCTTTTACATAGTGCCTGAGCCTTGAAATCCTGTAACATCTACAGCCAAACAGAGCCCTACTGCCAGACCACACTTACAGGAGCCCCTATTTTGGTGGGATAAAGGAGAGAGACGTGCGTAAGGTGAAAGTAAGGGTGGGTAGTTGAGGCCCTTTTTGTGGTTGGGGGTATTAGCATAGAAAGTGTATTTTGGAAAAAAAAGTAAGAAAAAAAATTAAGTTGGGATAAGTTACATAGAAAGTGTAGTCATTGGTTTTTTTTGTAATTTTCCCAATATCTTTCTTATTCTTAACTTGCTTTAGACAGTCAAGAATTTAGAACATTTAAGTGCGCGTCGATCTCTCCTATCTTACCATATTTTCCAAAAATTTTTTTCGAAATTTTCTCTCTTTTTTCCACATAAATATATCTCTCCCATTTCTCTTCCCCACTAACCTACCCAAAAAATACTTGCTTTAGACATCCAAGAGTGCCTATTCCTCTTGGTTGCCCTAACTTTTTCGCGTGAATTATTGGTTCCCAACTTGCTTTAAATAACCAAGACTTTAGAAATTTAGACTCACATGGATATCTCATATTTTTACCAATTTTTCAAAAATCCCACATAAAATCTCTCTCCACTTCTCATATAAATGTATCTCTAATGGGTAGTTTGGTATGAGCGAAAGTTTGGCAAAAGAATATTTATATAAAAATATTTACATACAAGAAAAATTATTCTGCCTTTTCCCATGTTTGATAAATACACTTGGAAACAAGCACAGAGAGAACACAACAAATTTGAAATTTTGATATTTTTTCTCTTTCTAAAAATTTTAAATTAGTTTCTCTCTAAAATTTAAAATTCAATATAGTTTTTCTCTCTAAATATTTTAGGACCGTTTGACATTCTAAAACATACTCATTGAGATAGTTCATCTCTCTAAAAAATTTTATACAGATTTCTTTCTTTAAAAATTTGAAATTTGAAATAGCTTCTCCCTCTAAAAACTTTGAAATAGTTTCTCTCTAACAATGTTGAGATAGTTCTCTCTCTTAAAAATTTCACGTGTTTTCTCTCTCAAAATTCTGATATAGTTTTCCTCTATAAAATTTCTAGATACTTGTCTCTCTAAAATTTTACATAGTTTCTCACTCTTAAATTTTAACATAGTTTATCTCTCTCAATTTTTAACATAATTTCTCTCTGAACATTAAAATTTCATATAGTCTATCTCTCTAAATTTTGAGAAAGTTTCTTTCAAAAAAATTTCAGGTAGTTTCTCTTTCTAAAATTTGATATAGTTTCTTTCTCTAAAATTTTAAGATACTTTCTCTTTCTAAAACATAAAATTTGATATAGTTTCTCTCTCTCAAAATTTTGAGATAGGTTCTCTCTCAAAAAAATTTCAAGTAGTTTCTCTCTCTAAAATTTGATATAATTTCTCTCTCTAAAATTTTAAGATACATTTCTCTGAAAATTTAAGATTTGAGACAGTTTCTCTCTCTAAAATAATTGAAATAATTTCTCTCTTTAAAATTTAATATAATTTCTTTAAGATACTTTCTCACTCTAAAATTTTTAATATAGTTTCTCTCTCATAAAATTTTCAAGTAGTCCATCTAGAATTTGATATAGTTTTCTCTAAAATTTTAAGATAATTTCTCTTTATAAAACTTAAAATATAATATAGTTTCTTTCTATAAAACTTTTTGAGATATTTTCTCTCTCAAAAATTTTGTAGGTAGTTTCTCTCTCCAAAACTTGATATAGTTTCTCCCTCTAAAATTTTAAGATACTTTTTTCTCTCTAAATCTTAGAATTTGAGATAGTTTCTCTTTATAATTTGTAGAGCGGTTTTTGCAAAATCAAGTATATTTGATAAATGGGCGGCTATGGCACTTCAAAAAGTTAGAAAATTATGTATATATTCGTTATTTTTAGCATTATTATGAAAATAC